TGACAAAGCTATAACGTGATGATTGTTTATGTTTTTATGTCACACAAACCTGTCAAATCAATAGTTAAAGTGAAACATGTTGCCAGGAGTGAACATAGGTCATATTCATTGAGCTGTACTGACATAGCGATGTTAAGGTAAAATGTGTTCCTACAAGATACCCGTGCTGCGTGGAAAGCTAGTTGTCATATATACATTCATGTTATTTGAGATTAGAAACCAGTCAGAGGTAGAAATGAAGGAGGCAGACAGGAGAGTGTTAATCAGTTTCTATTAATCTTCTTTCATAACATTTTATTATCATTGTGTGACGTAATGTAAGGGGGGGAATGTATGAGTGAGTACATGTAAAGGTTGCCACGACTGTGAGGGTTGGGTTGTGGGGTGTTTTGTATATTTATTTAAATTATTGTAGAAGTCCCACCCAGGCTCGATTTTGGTTGAAAGTTAATTTAGTGAAAGTTAGATGTATAGCTTCGAGACCCCAGTCAGTAATGCCGACAGTTTGATGATTAAAAATACAAAATGGGTAAAGTTCAATAATAGCAATTCAAAAACAATTAAATGGTCAATGATTCGAATTTCCCGAATACATTACTTCCACTCGACCCTTGCCCAGCCTATCATTCGATTCGTAGTGTGAGAGATTTAGACATGAGAAGAATCAAAGACGCACAAACGACCAATAATATGAAGCCCAATATTTTTTAAATACACTTGTTCTTTAAAAACCGGCGTTTACAAAATTCATGTAATAATTTGATTTACGATTCTACAGCCATTCGTTAAAATGTTTTGTTATTATGGTAAGCACTGGAGACGTGATTCGCAAACACGTGACGAGATTCAGTATTGACAAAGTGATTCGCAAACACGTGACGAGATTCAGTATTGACAAAGTGGTTCGATTTACAAGAGTGGATGCTATTAAATGAGTCTGCTTTTAAAGCTGTGTAGGTTTATAATTTGTATCGACAAAGGCATTAACATTTCTCGGTGGACAATCAATTAGGAATTCAATCATTCATCACTTCTTAAAATATAAATTTCAACCTGTAAATGTGTTGAAATACAATAAAAGTTGCATTTAACTTTACTTGTATTAAAATTGCATTCTTTCAAGGCACATTTTTCATGTTAATTTAATTAAGATAGAAATTAACTTTTGTTAGGCACATTTGAAAAGAAACAAACTGTTTTGATGCTTCGAAACCTTGACCTCTCAAGTGGCCTGTTAGATCGTTCGCCTCGGATGTGGGAGATCATGGGATAGAACCCCGGCCAGGTCATACCAAAGACTTATAAAAATGGTACAACCAGTTGTCTCGCTAGGCGATTAGCATTAAGAGGTTAGTTTGAGGACTGGTCGGCCTGGTCGGCCTAGTCACGAGATAATGTGACTGGGTGGGACATCATGCTACATGTATATGTCATGATGTTCAGAAATAGACATCAATATAAACTGCCACACGCAGACATTTTAGCAATATGACTAGAAAATTTTTAAGTTAAGTTTAAAAAATCACAAAAACAGAAACATGCTTGAAAGTTTTCCCCTTTGTCAACTCTCGAACACTTATCTAACTTTACAGAAGTATTTTATTTTTCATTGATACTGGGCTGGATTGTAAGATGCAGTTTTTTTTTCACAGCCAAAATTAATAAAGTGCAGTACAATAAGGACATGTTTTGAATCTTTATCTGGAGAACCTTTAAATGCCTTTTCGACGTGAATACAAAGTTTAAGAATGAACTGCTTTATAGTCACTGTTGAAAATAGTAAAATTGAATATATGTATATGAATCCTATTATTGCAATAAGTCAGTTTGATCATTGGGGTATATATAAAAATAAGAACTACACTGACAAAGGTTATAATTATTATTAATAATTCACTAAGCTGCCTTTTGGTCTTGCTCTATATAACACGCTACTCTCGAATTGTCCTTTCATCACGAACGTGTTCTCCTTACTGCTTGATTAAACGAAGGTAAGATTAAGACACGTGGAAGTCTATCTATTCCATAACAATAACATATCTAAGAATATTGTTGGTTTTCCATAATATGAACATTACCTTTCATTGCAGTCTGAGGAGTATGATATTTTTCTCAGATGCAGAGGGGCAAATTGTTGCCTCCAAATAATCTGGAAAATAGTAGTGACTCCTTTCAAGAAAAATGGAACCACGAAAATGGAATTTAGGCATCAACATTGGTCTAAAAGATAAGGAAGGTCACTCACGGTTTAAAAAACCCATAGTTTAATGTGATGATAATAAATGAATCGCAATTTATGAACTTTTTGACTGCACTTTTGAAAATTTCCATGTTAACAAATGGAATAAAAAAGTTACAGTTCATTGTTTGCTTAGGAATGGAAACTGTATTAGATACGTTGTTGGAACCTGTTTATCGATCACCTCCTTGTACATGTGAAGGACTTCTCGAATGTTCACATATGTCTACTTTCATATGTGAATAAAACAAACCTCACGTACTTCAATCTCTCACCCCCATTTATGTCTGTCTCTGTCTGTATCTCTCTGCCTTTGTCTGTCTCTGTCTGTCTTCCTCTGTTTGTACGACTGGTGTTTGAGTTCGATTGATGATATGATGTTATTCTATTCCCCTATTGAGCCTCTCCTTGCATTTTCTGAGGCTATGCTGCGTTGTTAGCTGAAGATAATGCCCTTCGTGGTGGAGTACTTTGAAGAGGGCAGTGGTAAGACCGGTGTTTGAGTTCGATTTATGATATGATGTTATTATATTCCTCTATTGAGCCTCTCCTTGCCTTCTATGAACCGGTCTTCTTTGGGGTACTTTTATCCAGTTAATTTTCTTTGTGTTGTCTTCCCAGATTAGTGAAAGTGAAGTGGGTTTTCCATGGTCCCTCAGGATCCATCCTGTAGTTATTAGAAATAATGTACCCAAATAGCATTCGGGGCTTGGGGAGGAATTAGCTTCTTCATCTGTGGATGTTGTGTTTATTATCATACTTCTTGTTTATTTGTAAGACGAAGAAACAGTTCGAGTAAAACAGCCAGCCAGACAGAAAATTAATTAACGTCGCTTTTGTACCATGTGCATGTGCGAAGAGTTATTTCCCATAATGCGGGGCATTTAATTGACAGTACTGGAGGGAATTCGAGCCACAATTACGTACACGTTTATGCATAAATAGTGTGCCACTTAATTGTGTTGTATTACGGAGCACTCAAGCCCCCAGCAACCGATAGGTGAAGAGTGGGATTCTAACCATCTTTCACTCGTTCACTCGTAAGACTTTATCTTATTGAAGTATCAGAGGTTGTAAGTGGTTAAACACGTCCTGGTGAAGCCAGCTCGGTTCTATTAGTACATGCTTATCGAGGCATCTCTTTGATGGATGATTTGGAATCATCGCACGCAATCGTTTTTGATGGTCTAAGCTAGTAAAATGAGGTTCCAAGAGTCAACTGGAACGTTAAAATTAGAAACGCCATGCTTACTGGTGTCATATCCTGTCTAGTCAATAAATCGGGCTATTCCTTATTGCCAGTTCTGTGTTAGCCACATTGGTAGTTAGAGTCATGTTTGATTATGGTTGAAAACTTGTCCACAGTTGAATTGAAATTTGAATTTGGTGTACTAAGGGTTCATACAATTTTTTAACATTACTCTAAAATTATACGAATCAAAGCTGCTATTGACTTTTATTGCCAATTTTAGGATATAAATACCTAAAACTGAACCGAGTCCAAATGTTTGGCGGTCTTGTTCTTCTGCAGTGTCCGCTGCACGCCGTGGTTCCGTGAACCGCTTTAACGCCAATGCCTCATACTCATAAAGATGTGCCAGCTCTTATGCGGCGTCAATAAGGGTGATCAAGGAATATTATTAGTATACCTCTTTGTAATATTGCTTGAGAATACGTACCCAAAATTGCCATTGATGAGATCTTGGCATTCTTGTTTTCAATTGCATCCAGCCTAAGTACTTCACCGCGTTCGGTTGGCCGTCAGAAAGTGATTGCTCTAAGCCGAGATCTATAAGCCTCTGCGTGTCTGGGTGATTATTCTCTTCCTTAACTGTATCATCGGTCTCACCTTCTTTTTCATTCGCCTCATTGTCAGCATCTTGTTGAGCTGGAGATTGTGTTTCAGATTCTGTTTTATATGCCTAGGTTCCTGCTTCTGCGTGGGGACCAGACTATTTTATTTTATTGTGTTTCATTTTCTTTAAAAGAACATTTTGTTTTAGAGTTGATAGTACACTCACACTGTGTAAAGTATTAACAGAGAACAATAATAAATTATTCTAATTACCTAATTATAATGATGGCAACCTTCCTATCGAGGCATGTGCATATCGTCCAAGTTACGTTCATCCCTTCATTGCTTGGACAGCCAAAGATGAGTGCATGTGCCGATTCATACTCTTCTAACAAATGGGTAACCAGATAAGCGTGTGAGCACGGAGCAGGAGTGACTACACAAAGGCAGTTTCCAATCACGCGCATCATACAAGAAGACACATAGTTGCAAGGAGTGTTTGCTGGTGTGATTGACGCTCGTAATGTCTCACAGTCCCTGGGGTCTTGATTGCCCTGTAAAAGCCATAATCATGTAGCATGCTATGTATGTATAGACGCGTACGAGAGTGTGGCTAGAATTGCTTTCCGTACGACTAATTTGGTATAACACATTGTGGGAATAAACTCGTCGCGTATGTGCAATATGCGAAAGCGATGTTAATTCAGATAAGTCATGTCAAGTAATGTGATGTTATTATGACGTTTAAAGTATCTTTAACAAATTTTCAGTCATATTGCTACGATGTCTGCAGTGTGTCAGTTTATAGTGATGTCTAACACTGGGGCGTAATGCCGCACACATGTAGCATGATGTCTCACCAAGACTCATTATCCTGACACTAGGCCGACAAGTCCTAAAATTAACTCCTTAATGCAGAACGTCAAGCTAGGCAGATGTTTCTACTATTTTTGTAAGTCTTTGGCATGACTCGACCGGGGATAGAACCCATGACCTCCCGCATCAGAGGCGGACGCTGTAACCACTAGTCCACCTGAGCAGTTAGTCATGTCAAGTTAGTCTGGCTACCCTAATTGACCCGTCTACACGTAAAAGAATGAGTTTGACAAAGTGGAAGCAACATAATTAGAAATGTTTTGCACAATCATGGCACTAATCTCCAATTTGAAATTTTAGTACAGGTAATATAAATAATTATCGAGTTTAATATAAAGCAGCTATTTGGATGCTATGCATTTGTTCCAAGTTTGGATGGCATAAACGTGTGACCAAATCTAGGCTTGCATAACTTAATGCAGGGTAATAAAGTGCAGACGTTTTAGTTCAGGCATCAAAATACATGTCTTACCGTGTGTTAAAATAAAGATCAATGTAGTCATGAAGGCGTATTTAATGATCTCAAATGAAATGGTAATTGTTACATTAAATTTTGTTACTAACTAAATAAAAACAGTTGTAACAAAGTAACTCATTCACGGTTGTTGTGTAATCTACACCTTTTTTGCTTTCTTAAAAGATTAGACGAAATAAATCGATCGCTATGTACTTCTACATTGGCGATCTGGCACCAAGCTTGGCATATAAATGAGGACGTCGGATATAATCATTTTACGTCTAGTGAAAAGTTTGATCATCTTTTACTATGCGTCGCTTTCATTGGGACTCCACCGCACGACATTCAATTACCTCGCCCCAATTACAATAAAAGCAATTATCAGTCAGTTTTTGATATTTATTTATAATTTAAAGATCTAAATTCACAATTGTTGAAGCTGTTAGAATTTAAAGTTACAGTATATAAATGACTACCTTACTAATATAAACAAGGAAATATTTAAAATAAAGCAGACAACTTAAGGTTATTTAGGTTTTCAGACTGGAAGACTTTGAAGGCATAAGGATATTGAGTGGTTGCTAGATTAGCTTTAAACAGAAAAAATGCTTGAGACAGCTTCTGCTAAATTGCATAATGTGCCAAAAACACACCTTTGCCACGATGTCTATGAATATGATGTGCCTTCTGGCCGATTTCGCCTGCAAGGATGGTATGCCAAAGTCCAGATAGAATGATACAATTTATACATTATCCGACCAGTATAATAAACTACATGGCAGATATAATGATACAATGTATAAATTGTCCTATCATTGCAATACACGACATGGAGTATATAATGTTACTATATATATATATATATATATATATATATATATATATATATATATATATATATATATATAGATACAGTGTCCTGTCAGTAAACTTCATAGCAGATAGAATTATACAATGTATACATTGTCCTATAAGTGTAATAAACTTCATGGCAGATAGAATGATACTATATACACATTGCCCTGTGAGTGAAATAAACTTCATGAAATTGGATCATACATTGTGAACATTATCCTATCAGTGTAATAAACTACATGGCAGAGAACGATATACTTTATGCTATCAGTGTAATAAACTACATGGCAGATAGAATGATACAATATATACATTGTCCTGTGAGTATAATAAACTTCATGAAATAGATTTTTATAATGTGAACATTGTCCTATCAGTGTAATAAACCATATGATAGAGAACGATATACATTGTCCTATCAGTGTAAAAAACTACATGGCAGATAGAATGATACAATGCATACATTGTCCTATTAGTGTAATAAATTACATGGAAGATAGAATGATACAATAATACATTGTCCTATTACTGTAATAAATTACATGGCAGATAGAATGATACAATGTATACGTTGTCCTATCAGTGTAATAAATTACATGGCAGATAGAATGATACAATGTATACATTGTCCTAGTGGTAGTCATAAAAACATTGATCCTTGTTCAAAAATCAATACAAACAATGCATTTCAATTACAATTAAAACAATTGATTTTGTTCTGGGCACACTAGTTCCGATGCACAATTCATCTGTGAAACATAAAGTACAAACAATTGACACAAAGAACGTTTAAACGACATGGATTGTTTCATTTCCAGTATACCCATTTACAGATTTTGATATCTTCTTTTTTCGAACTGTTATTTGATATCTATTAGTTATTGACTTTATACTACATAAATAAATGGCACTATTATGATTAGAATTTATCATAATCTTCTTATTTCCTGATATGAGAAGAAACGACTCAAGTATTAAGAACTGTCTTGGCTCAGGGAGACAGAGACAGGTAGATAGACATAGAGAAAGAGAGAAAAAGAGAAGAAAAGTTCGGGCTCTCTTAAAAACTTGTAACGAATAATGGTGTACATAAGACTGAATCTACATCTGTGGAAGCTTTGGCAATGCGGAGATACACGGGATCTGTAATGAAATACGAGAGTAATCTCTTTTATTTTGGAGCAAGCGAATTTTTTATACAATTGATATACAATAATATATAATCCTACCTTCAAAAGATACACGTTATTAAAAGATACATAAAAATCATATCATACGTTTCCTTCATGTCTACAAATTCCACATATTTGAGTAGTTTCTACATTTTAGAATATAGCATAGATGATTAGATTTCGACTAAATCAAAGAGTATAAAATATTTGCGATTAATGCAAAAATCGTTTTGAAGAAATATATTTTGCTCAATTTAAGATGAAAAACTAATTTGGAATATATTAATAAACATTGTTCTTTATTACTTAAAGGATATTTTAATTCCCAAATTAAATCTAAACATGATGTTGGTGGAAATTAATCATTTTACCATAATGCAAAAACAATTGGAAATGAATATAAATTCTTTAAACAATTAAACTTTCCATTATCTTATAACATTAAAATAAAAATGAAACTCACAAGAACATTGCAAAGTTACCACTGAAATCTTTAACTTTGAAAAGTACGTATTGATTAAGAAATTTACGATCATACACGATTCTTACCATTAATATAATATGAGAGGAATCTTTTCTAGTTTGGATCAAGTGGACTGGAGGTGCTAATGACTTGAGGGCTTATTTATACTAGTTCAAGATACCCCTAATCATATTTGATAAAGACCTGGATAGAAGTGTACCACGATAGCATAATGACTGTACTGCATGGTCCAAACCAGAGATCCAGTTTATCCTAATGTAATCGTATATGTTCTTTGCGTCCATATACTTCCTCATCAGCATTATGGTTGAAACCTAGCTTACTGAGTTCGAAATAAAGTTAGGAATATTTGACATTAAATGCTATTTGCTGAGTCGGCATATACATGTATAATACAGGGAATTTTTTTTCTTGTGGTAGAGGGAAAATTGTTATCATTATAGACTATAACTCTAATAAACGAAGTTAATCTGCATATATTTTAATGAAAATAAGACATACAGATGAAATAATGATGACGGACTAAGCATTTTACTACAGAATAGTAATGTTCTTAGAGATATCAAAATTACATAACAGTGAGAGGGCATATTAAATCTGAATTTAGTGTCACATATACAAAACAGGCCATCGGTTATACACTTTATTTTTTCCAGTAGTAGACGCTGTTGATAGTTATATTAATTTGTACATTTTGTAAAGCAAATCTATGGCACAGATGAAAGTATTAGAGTAAAATTTCAAAATTACATAAGACATTTAAGCTTTAAATTGAACTCTGGCGTTGATAGTAACGGTATATTAATATAACCTAATGCAGCGATCACCAAAATGACTGTTTTTGTTAACGGTATTTTAATATTACCTAACGAATCGGTCACGAAAATGATTGCTGTTGATCCCTATATATTACTATCAGAGACGACGCTGTCCCCACAATGTAGTTGCTAACGGTATAGTAATATTACAAGATTATAACTATTATAAAAAACGTGCCAACAGAAATGAGAAAACGACTGACCATTTCCTTTGCTTCTTATTTATAACTACAAGAATAAAGCATAGCTAGTAGAAGAGACGCCTACGAAAACGACATGGACCAGAATTAAGTATTCCATGTTGTGGGAATAAACCCGTCGAGCATGCACATTGTGCGAAAGCGACCAAACATCAATCAAATCTCGCCCATTATTCATTCAAATGACTATTTTACGCTAAGTTGTTTTTAAATTTAATTTGCACGAGAACAAGAGACAAATTCTATCAGCTACGCAAGAATGGTGGAGGCAATTAATTTATAACAGTAAATGAATGCACCCAAGTATATATACAACCAATTATATATTACTGCCGATTATATGTTACTAGTTTAATGTACTGTAATGGTTTTGAAAGTTTATCACTCTTAAATAGAATATAAAATTAATGAAGCAAAATGTCTACAAACAAAGCTATAAAAATACTATAAGTTACATGGTTTCAGTAGATATCGTGAAGCGCAAATTATTTATTTTCCATATCAAATAAAAGCATAAAATCAAAAGATATTTATCTACTGAGTTTTCCACATGTTCTTCGTAGCAAAATTTTCTATTATGACCTTATTTTTGCGCGTATGTACAATTTCTAAACATTCATTCAATAAATTAATAAATTTGACCTTTCGGGATAAATTTAGATACTGAACGTCGACATGAGGTTATGACGGGAGTGTACTTACTGGAATTCGAGTGACGATTAAATGATTACATAATTCTTTATTTTTAGTCCTTATCTGGTTTGTAGTTGTACTCCTCCTTCTGAGTAAGTAGATAGTAACCGTAGTAACTGCAAAGTGTACGACATTAGCTATGAATATCAGATAAATCGTAAATTAAAATTGCTGGTTTCTTCTTTCAAATTTAATAAATCAGGAATTAGGTTTTTATTTTACGGCATTTTCACACTAGAGCAATGTGTCTTATTTGCCAAAAATCTTTAAGTTAATATAGTGACAATTACGGGTAACATTCGTGCCTTGCATGGAAACCTAAAAGGATTGACAATAATATCTTTCTAAATGTATTCGCAATACGATCAAGAATAAGTAAAATATCTACGTAATATGCATGCCTCTCTTGAGATGTTTTAAAATACTTTTCATAAATTTTCAAGACATTTGTTCTTACACCTTTAATGGACATTAAACACGTGCGA